ATTTGGAAGGACTGTGCTCTATCTTTTTTTACTCTATAAATGTGAAATTAAACTTAGAAAGCTAAAAAACAGATGAGGACCTTAAAAATTCCCTTCTAGCACTATGTATTTCTCTTTAAATATGAGATGCCTTTCATTTTACAAGACTGGAATTCTCATTTTGGGCTTGGCATTCTAACAAATGATTAATTCAGCCTCCTCCTTTCTGAGAGCTGACCACATTTACTGGTCAAATGGTTTAATCCTATTTAAAATGCAATCCAAGCAAAATATTTTTAAATAAAAATAAAAACCCACGATCCCCTGAAACTGTTCGCCTTGGCCAAGCCATCCCATTCTCCTGCGATCTTGATGTGAAGCTGAATATCTGCATCTATAACCAGGATGAAGTTCAGCTTTGGAGAAAAGCCCGGGCGAATCTACCTTCCCAACCTTGACAAATTAAGTCCTCACCCCCAAAAGTCGTGTCCACAGACTGCCCTCACTTGTCCAATATCTTGGCAGAGACCACGTCTCTTCTGTGCTCCATAACTCTGTGTTGGCATCGGCAAAATGTTAAGTGGTGATGGTAATAAAAAAAAAAAAAAACTACGTTTGAATGGAAGTTTTGTGAGATTTGTTGATTCCAAGATGTTAATCATTTTTACCATGACTTGTCTATTTATAGCCCTTAGTCTCAAACAAATTCTGACAAGCTTATAAAACTAAGAAAAAGAACCAGCATACTAGTTTAAAAAGGAATAAAAAAAAAAAAAAAAACAAGTTTTCCATTAATTCACTATGCCATTAGAATCCCGAATTGAAACTGCAGTTGTATTCAATTTAAATGAGATGTTTTCCAACCAGATGAAATAGTAGGCAATTGTGGCTGTGAAACAATGCAAGGCGGGAAGAAATAAAAGAAATATAAAGATTAAATGTGGCTGTTTCTTTCAACAGATGGTGACAGCACCATGGCAGCATGTTGTTTTTTCTTAGTTGAAGAATGCAAACATCCGTAATCAATCATCACTGATTAACTAATTATATTACCCTTCCTTTTATCACTAGGGTTGAACCTTTATCTGTAAACACTACGGATAATCTGTATGCTCTTATTTTTCTAGAAGCATATTCCAGTACACATGCGGTCGTGCAGTTACAGGCTGCAAACAGAATTCTACATTACCGTCTACCTTAAAGCACTACTGCTTTTTTATTTTTTTTAAACAAAAGCAATTGGTTTCCAACAGGCTGGATAATAAGTCTTTTGACCTGCATTCTTCTTTGACCCATTAAGGTCACCCCTGTGCTCGGGCATATAGCTGACTTAGGAATGCCTGCAAGTCCCACATTTCATCTCCTGCCCACTCAAAATAAAGCTTTCTTTAAATGTGTCTGTACGGGTCCCTGAAGGCCAAGGAGGCATCCCTGTAGTGGGCAATGGAGGGACAGAAGCTTCTGCCTTTATTAATGAATGCAGACCATTATGAGTCTGGCTGGCTCCTTCCCTGTTCCCAGAAGCATATACTGTACGTGACTTAAAATGCTAGAATATTGACACAAAGCGAGCCGGGCACCCCTAAGGAAAATTACTCCTTGGATATAATGTAGGCTCGTAACAGCTATTAGAGTACAAAATAAAACCCTCTGGGATCAAACTGACATATACCGCATTCTACCTAGTCCTCAAACATTAGAAGAATTTCTTTGTGAAGGCGTTCTCAAGGACAGCATTAAACTGACTTTTGTAGCAATCTGCAACAGCTTTTTGGCTTAGAGCTTTTAGTACTAAATCTCTGGTTTGAATCAATATAAGTACTATATCTTCTACATTAATCAATACATTTGGTTCAATACATGTTCTATTAAATTATACTTTCTAATCAAGATTTTTACATTTCTACCCTCTCTCTTTTTCATTTCCAACTTCTTTTGCTAGTAAAATAGTTTTGAAAGTGTATGCAGCTAATGATGTCAGGGTACTGGGTTATTTCCCCCATACGTTACAGAAAAAATACAAGGCAAAGGGCAGCCTTTAAACGTCTTAACAAGGTTAACGGGATGGGAATATAATAAATGAACATTTTCAAAGTCCACACAATTACAAAAGTACTCATAATTTTAAATTAATTCAAGGTGAATTGCTCCAGCTCTGAAAGTACCATTAGGAACATTCTAAAAATTACACTGAAAAACAAATCGTCCAAAAGTACCAATTAGACCCCATTTTGCCACCCCCAAATTTCCATTATCCACAAACTATATCCTTCCTGGATGGGGAAATTTTGGGTACTTGCATTTCTGTAGACCTTACCTGGTAAGCATCAGGCAACATATACGTGGGTATGTGCATTTTTGTGAGTTATGCTATATTTTAATGAATAGCCTTTAAAAGACAATATATAATATTTCCCAAAGTGCTTTGAGAACCTAAAAAACATATTCATAGAATAGATTTTCACAGCCAGGGAAGTTGACTCATAATTTTCACTTTGGTACAATTTACTAAAATGAGGTTCTACTCTTTTATTTTGACATAGCAATGGCATTTCCAAAACTGTCTGTCATGATATGCTTTTGGCCCTCTCTTTAATGCCATGAGTGTTGCATTTATGATCATGTTTGCATTGACAGAATTTCCCTTTTTATTTTTTCATATGGTAATGTCATCACCATGAACTTACAGAGACAGTGATGCATTTTCTTTTGACATTTAACAGTTCACATAGGCTTGGCCTGACATCTCAAAGCATTTTCTGGATGACACTAAGCTATATTAAAGCAAAAGGTGAAATGGCATCATCATAAGTGATCAGAAAAACACAAGATCTTGGAGACAGAAAAGAACTATTAGGTTATTTAGTTTGCCCCCTTGCTGGAACAGAATTGTTCTATAAAGTTTACACTCCAGGCCAGTTTTAAATGGTTCTGGCAATGAGGTTTCCATCACACCTCCCATAGGAAACAATTCCACATTCCAATAAACTTCACTGAAGGACATTTTTGTTGTTGATCTCTGGACATTCATGCTAAACAAGCCCAGAAAAGGGTGGTCTGGGATAACCCTGAAGCATGTGGACATTGCCACACTCATGAGTTTATGTTCTCCAGACCTTGACCATATATCTGCAAAGTTCTTCTAGGTCATCCAAAGTAACCCAAAAAACAATCCAGTAAGTTATTTCTCAGTCATTATACAAACCATATAGATTCTAGAAGGCCAGTGGAACTTGCCTTTCAACAGGGTTTCCCAACCTCAGCACTGTTGACATGTTGGGCTGGACAATTTTTTGTCAGGGGCTGTACGCTGTAGGATGTTAGCAGCATCCTTGGCTTCTATCAACAACATGCCAATAGCATCTTCCCAGTCGTAACAACCAGAAATGTCTCTAGACATTGCCAAACACTCCCAGGTGGGAAAAGAAATCATCCCCAATTGAGGACCACTGGCTTACAGTGTTTTGAAAACACATTAGGCTTGCTGTACCATGCTTGAGCACACTACTACTTAGTCTTCAGTCTAAAAGGTATCTTCCTCACCAAATTAAAAAAAAGTATAGCAAAAGGGACATATATATATACCACGTGGAACTGTATTGCATGGCATTTTAAATATAGTCAATGAGTGAGAATGGGCGATTATCAAGAAATTATGGATCTTTGAGATATATAATAAATAGCATTGCTTGTGTGAAGAATAGAGTCTTTCCAAAAATGTCCACTCATTCAGCAATTTACCAAGACTTTCTATGTACCACCAAGGACCAAAGGCTGTACATTTTAGTGGCAATTAATCAATGCTGCTTTAGGAATATTTGCAATCTAATGAAGTACAAAGACACCCAAATATTAAACTCTGGAAATCAATATGTAGAGTATAGAAACGACTATCTACTTTGAACGAACTGCAGAGCCACTATCCTTAATTTGCTGGTCTGGATTCAACAGCGGGAGTCAACTACACCTGAAAGTAATGTATCAGAGAATCAAAGCCATAGTTTCAGAGCTGGGAGGGCCCTAGTAGCATCTGTTCCAATATCTCATTTTATAGATGAAGAAATGAGTCCCAGAGAATTTATGCCAACTTTCAAGGTGTTATGGCCACTCCAGTGGCATAGCTGGCTTTGGGCGTAAAGCAACTGTTGAGTGGTACTGGTTGCTGTGTTCTAGTCCCTGGGATGAGCCAGCTGCATGGATGACCGATGCTCACCATTATGGCCCTCAACAACTACAGCAAGGACAGTGTGCTATGGGCCTCAGAGAAAGGGTGCCTTACCTCCTGTGAGAGGCTGTGGGCTTGGTTCTCAGAGAAGTCACACCTGCCTGGTGCTGGACCAATGAGGATGAGGAGGAGGAGGTTAGAAGAAAGTAATGGGCTCCAGAGGGAGAGAGTAAGCATGAGTCAGGCTGAGAGCCAAAGAGGGCAGAGACCATGTAGGACTCCAAGTCATCTGTGGGGCTGAAGATCCATCAGGCTGGGCAGGCAGGTGGGGAGTCACTTCAGAAAGAGCCTATTTTCACCACAGGTCCTCTTTTTTACAACATCAAACCAAGCTGGGAAAGCCTATGGTGGTTAACAATGTCGTAAGAATACCCACCTAATTAGCCTAGCTTTAGCCTAATGTAAATCTTCAGAAGGCTAAGCAAAGACTAATTTTTAAAATAATGTCATGTCCACATTGCTAATATAGAACAATTCCTAGTATTTTAACAATTAAGCACTACAGAGAAATAAAACAATCCACTGTGGTCCACCAGTTTCAAAAAGACAAATATAACTGATGGGTTATATATGGGAAATGTTAACATCGTAACAATTTCATTTTTTTATTAAGAACTTAAAAATGATAGTAAAATTTCAGTTACTAGCTGACCTCTATCTGTTTTACATACCTAACAGGCTTGAAAATTTCCCTTTTTAGAATTGATAATAGCATGCACCATCAATTACATTGAGGGGAAAAAAAAGTGCCAAATTGGAAGAATAGGTTAAAAAGAGCAAAATGGCTTTTGAAAAATATATTAAAAGTATAATGTTTATTTTAAAAGAAAACAATGAATTGAGCTACCTGTTTACATGGAGGGAGCCAACAGAAAATTTAAATCAAACTATACAAACCCAGCAAAAGTGAAAGAGAGCCTAGAACTTAAAGATTCTGTTCAGATTCTGGAATTGCAGGATCCCAGCGTATTGTGGGACAGAAGGCTTTGATAGCAATACAGTCTAATAAGATATTCAGGGATTAAGTCAGTGCTTCACAGACAGATGTGTCCATGTGCCAGTTGTTGCTAAGCTTTAATTTTTCCCCCTGTAATGTTTAATTTATCACACTGGTGCTTTCTAAACTAGAACATCTGTAAACAAGGTTAAGAATGACCTCCTTCCAATTTTACATCCGTGAACAGTGCCCCTTCTTCGTGCTCTAATTTTAGATACCTTAAAGATAAATAAATCTGTGGAGGGAAGAAAAAAAGGCTGCTTGTCTGACACTGTAATGTGTTCATCTTGGGCGAATACAAATTTCCTTTCTGCCTGGCTCGTAGTGCACACAACTGGCTCTTGATGCTCAAGCCGTATTCAGGCATCTCCTTCTGAGTCAAACGCAATTAAACAAACTTCTGCTAAATATTTAACAGCCTTGTGTAGTAATTAGCAGCAAATAATGGGAGCTTAAATTGATAATTGCTCAGAAATGTCCTCTTGCAAACGTTACAAATTTTCTGCTCCTCCCTTTTCTCTTAGATTTTTAATCCCAGAGGGGTTTTTTTTTTTCAAGAAGGATTTAGTTAGTGAAATTACCCATAGTCACATTACTTGGCCCAAGATCTTGCAGTCACGTTGGGTTGTTTCACATGAGCTGCAAGATTCCACCAGCATTACCTATTTCGTTTCTGTTTTGAAATCCATTGAAATTTAAAGTTATGTACCGGAAAGCTGTTGGAACAGGGCATTGATTTAGAAACTGACTGGCAGGCTTAGGATTTAAACTCTGGGCCGCTAGATTCAAAAGGTCATCTGATTAGAATGGGAGAAGCACAAGGCGTGGTAATTTATATTCAAAGGGTAACCTTTGTAGGGAGAAGGAGGGAGCAAAGACTCTCTCTGCTTTTCCACTTGATATGAACAAGGATTCCCTTCAACCAAATTCCAATAATTATGAAAAATAGTGTATTGAACTTTGGCAACAAGCAAAAAGAAATGCCACTTCTCTATACTGTATTCTTTCTTATACTCAAAACACTGCCACACTCTCTAGGAGGTAAACTCACATTGAGTAAGTCAAACATGTTATAAATCTTTATAAAAAAATCTTTCCCCATCATAAGTAACCAAAGACTTGTCTACCACGGCATTTGCTTTAGTAAATATACATAAAAAGAATAAAACTGTGAAAGGACAATGTATTGATTTACATAATTGAACTGTGTTAAGTATGACTGTGTGTGCATGAGCATGTGTGCACATGTGCACATCCATGCCTAAGCACAAGAGCATGCGCTGTGGAGAAGGGGAAAGAGTTACACACGTGCGTGGGTTCTACAGGTAAAATCCTCGTGTCTGCCTTTGATCGTTCTGTCCCTCAGGGCTCATGTTCCTGCATGAAGAATGCAACTAAAGGAGCCTCCGAGTAGCCCTTGTTTTAAATTCTAAGTCCTTTGAAAATGCAAACATTTCACAGGCTCAATTATTTTTGGGTGTCTCTCACTTTAAATTAAAAAAAAAAAAAATCCGGGTTTGGAGAGAAGAGATAAAATTTCCAAACTCAAAGTTTGGTGGGTTTTTTTTTTTTTTTTTTCTTGCTTGCTTTCTTTTCTTTCCCCTTTCCCTGCATGTTTTTATGTACTGTAGAAAGTTTCAAGTCCCCTTTCTTTAACAATCTCCTGCCTCCTCATCTCCTGAAATCACCCCTGTTTATCAAGCCAGTTCACACAGGCACAAAGAGAAGAAATCAGGTACGCTTAAGTGTCTTTCTTATCCTGTACCGAACCTTGTCAGGTCTCAAGATATATTTGTATTCTCTCGTCCATCATCTCCTCTTGTCTCAGAATCTTTCAGGTCTTAAAATGGCAGAGCTTCCCCCAACCCACCATCTAGCCAAGAAGAGCCTCTTCTGGCTTCAGAAACCCATCCTTTTCACTCCCCCTCTCCTCCACTCCCGGGGCACCTCTTCGGGCATTGCTCCTAGGTCTGTGTGTCCTCACCCCTCATGCTGCAGAACTACTAGAAAGGCAGCCCTTTAGTTCTCCACACAAAGATGTGCTGTAGCTATGGTGAGAGTAATCTATAACCCTCACATCCTTATATAATTTGCTACTCCAAGTTAATTTTAATTCATTACAATAAAGCAATATAATTAAAAAAATAACTCTTTAAAGTGAAGTATTCAACATGATCCTGGAAGAAAGAAAGCTTTGAGTAACAGAGGGCCAGGCAGCAGGCATGGTGCATACTCATGCAAATTCAAAGGTGGGCTATAAACAAGTCCACACAGCCACACTGCCATGCATAAAGGGCCGGGCGACGGGAGGCCTCATTCTAATCAGTCCTCAAAGGAACCTGCCATACAGAAGTGGTACTTATTCTAATTTAAAGCCCTCATGCTTGCTTCAGTGTTGCAAAATTTATAAAAGAATAACTTCATTAAACCGCCTGGCACTTCAAACACAAATGCACACCAGCCACAACACAGAAGGAGCTGGACAAGAGGAAGAGAAATATTCCCAGAGAGTTGTTAACTCAGATGTTCAAATAAAGTCTGCATTGGGTGCTTCTCTTTCCGACGACGTGGTTTGCTGTGCAACTTCCCTTCACCCAGGACTTCTGCCACATGGCTCTTGACTCCTGTCATGAGGCCTGTTGCTCCTGAGTCTGCTTAATAACACTGAAAATCATTCAAAGTGGTTCGGCCTCCACCTCACATGCAGAAATACATCTGGCAGTACCTAAATGAACGCTTTTCAATGTTCCTTTCCGGGTCTGCAAAGGAGATTGATTCTGAACACACCACTATTACAGTTCCCATTTACTTGGGTATATATTTCAGACTCACCAAAGTTGTTGAAAAACTAACATAAAAAAACTTTTTTCCCCTTAACCTCGGTCCTCAAGAAAGAAAGCAATTATATGGGTTAAGTGGAAACAATCTGCTGAATCCACGCACAGCACTGGAGAGAAGTTATTGTCACATCCTAAAACACACACTTTTAAGGAAAATTCTTCTTCTGCCCTGAACCAAAGAATCAAAGAAATGCTACAGTAAAATCACTTCAGGCTAGATTCCTAGCTACAATACAGTCTGTGTCAGAACACACATCATTTCATGCTGAACTGTCAGCATACTTCTCAAAATCGTTTTTTTGGAATGCAATGCGAAAACAATCCAGAAGCCTGTATACAGCTCCACACCTCTGAGAAAGCAGGTGTTACACACAGGTTGCGCTCGGCATTGAGATCTTGAGCGAGGCCAATAATGAAAGACTCCTTTCCTGTTCAGAGTTTCTCCTCTCCCAAGCCCAAAGCTGTGCTAAGGTTTTGCTTCTAAGAGAACAGGGTAAGCTTTCAAAAACTGTGAGAATGGAAATCCAGGGAGGGATAAGAGAAAATGATCTTAGGTTGAAATCTCTTAAGGTGAATCTCTCCAGAGGCGATAACAGCAGACTGTTTACCCCAGGCATTTTTCAAAATTTTGGAGTGAGGTTCTTGCTGTTGGTCAGAAGAGAGACCTGTTACAGGATACTGGGTTGACTGGAGGACTGATTGACACGATAGATGGGAACACTATAGTTGTCACCACAAAAACGCTGTGCGATGTGATTCATATTATTCCTAGGATAAACAAATATTGAAATTAATTCTCTATCATCCTTAGACATTTGTTTTATGGTGCTAAAAGCTCTTTTACATTCATGTAATGTAATATATGGGTGAAGGTAAGTTTGTATTATTTTTCTTCTCCATGAATAAAATAGGACTAATCAGATGGAAGGAGTGAGCTAATTCAATTACAGGCAGCCTTTATTATACAAGAAAATATGGATTATTGATCTCGTGGAGTTGGCAACGCATGATGCAAATTCAGTGAATGAAACCTGAAGGTTTGAACTTCAGACTATTTTTAGTCATGCTTAAATCTACTCGACCGGTATTCACTTTTGAAAAACCACCAAAAGAAAACAACATGAAGTAATTAAACCCAGGGCTCCAAAAGGGGACAAATGAAAGGTTAACTCAGAGGACTGAATGGCAGCCTGAGAAGGCCCCTTCGTGGGGGTGGCATCCCTGGTTCCTCTCCTACCGTGGAGGAGGAGAAATGGGAGGCTCTTTCAGCCTGTGTGTGCAGTGCTGAGTGAAAACTTCTTTGGGAGACTGAAATTTACCTCACAGGCATCTTGACAAATCGGACCTCATCCTGTAATGAGAACAAATGGATTGTTGTGGCTTTGCACTTGCGAGGCGGACTTGTTTGAAATACAGCTGGACTGTCCTAGCAAAATCCTTTTGTCTTTTATCTCTTAAAAAGTGCAATAATCAACCCTGGTTAGAAAGAAAGCAGCTCTGACTAGCAGGGTCACGTGGAAAGCAAAGCCTATAACACAAACACTAAAGGGAAAAAAGGTGAGCTCTGATTTTCAATGTATATTTACACACCTCAGGTCTGCCTTCCCATTTCCCCTTATAAATCTGCCCCCAGACACCATGGCATGCTGATTGCTGTTTGTACTCTGCTACAAAGTGCAGACCAGCCTGTCTCCTGTATTCCTTATAAACTTCTCCCAGCTCTTCCCTACCGAGCGCACACTCTGCCTTTTGACCAGGTTCACATCCTCCACCTTTTTGTGGACCGCAGCCAAGTGCCCCCCGACATGGCAGCACAAACAAAAGTATGCTCTTTTCTCCTCTATTTTTTTAAGAAGAGTAAAAAGGGTTCTGCATTTTGGTAGGCACGCCTCCAAAGCACAAGTAAGAGTCCATGTGGCATGTTTTCGAAAAAGACTCCAATGAAAGGGAGGAAGGAGGGATGCTAAACAATGCTGCACAAAGTTGCAGACTGTTCGGCTACAGTCCAGAAAATGAATCCAATTTTTCATTCTGTCATTATAAATATTTCATTGCAAATGGTACTGATTTTCTGCAACTGTGGTTAAGCAAAGGGCCTCTGTGTGAATATTTAAGGGAAAAAAAAAAAGGAGGAAGACAACGAAGAACAGGGAGGGGGAATGAAAGGTTAGCAACCAATTAATTTCTTACTTTAAATGTAAAAGATTCTGGGAGAAATTCAACAGTGATGTAGTGTGTGACTCAAAGAAGAGGGAAAAAAAAAACATTTACTCTGCTCTTCTTCTGACAGTTTCTCATAAAATATCTGCAGTCCATCTATCTTTTAGTACTCCAGGCTCCTCTGGAGAGCAGAAAATGGCGGTTTAAAGCTCACTTCAGTGCCAGTCTGCGGGAGATTGCTTTCCACAGGACCCCCGCTGATGGAGGCCTAGGGGAAGAGGCCCAGGAGTTATTCAATCAGCCCGAGACTCTGGGGCGGCTGGGGGTCCTTTGAGGGCTGATTATAAAGCTGCCCTCCTGTTGCCTGCCTCGGAACAGAACGAAATGAGCAGCCTCTTGCTGAGCAGATTCTGCAAGAAGGAATTTCACCTGTCATGGAGTTTGTCAGAATTTCAGGATTTATCTTGGTGCAAAATTAATAAAATACCAACCAGGATTTCAGGCTGACTACTCAGCTGTGTCATCTCAAAGTGATCTTTCACCCAAGAAAACCTGGACAGTGAGCACAGCCATTCTTGTCCTACTTTTCCTTCGGAGGGTGAGCGAGACGATGTGACTAATACCACCCAGACGTCAGGATGAGATTTTGAACCAATTACACACAAGGCTGAATTACGTGTGGGTGCTACCGTCTTAATGTGCGACCTCTCACCTCGCTGCTGTAGTTCTAAAGCCTCTTTGGAATAAGCCCGAGTCTGAAGCATAAAAAGGCCATTTCTGCAGTTTATAACACAGTAGGTCCCCTATGGCATCACATCTGTTAAATTCATACACTGGTATTTCAGGCCTGGATTTGATTTATCTTTTAAAAAGGAGTACTAACAACGGACTACGTTAAGAGCACATATTGTGAAACATTACAAATTAATCTCGGGTCAGCCGTGAGCAAGGAGGAGCAGTTTCATCTTTTGTTGTAACACACACTGCCCTCCAGTCCATCCCCCTCTGGGATCCTAGCGGAGAGCGGGAGTAGGCAGTGGGAGTGGAAATGGGGAGGGAAGGAACACAGAGGGGAAGGGACAGGGAGGGGCAAACCTCTGCAGGCTCCGGGCTGCAGCAAGTTTGGGAGTTTGGCCATCTCTGCTCATTCCTCTTCAGAAGGTGGCTTGTACCACACAAATCACCACAGCTATTTTAAGTGGGGCTCTGTAAAGCCCAGGGTTTGATCCTTTTGAGCTGAGGCTTGGGCAGCCCCGAGGCAATTAGCTCTGGTCCTCAGAGTGGGCAGCATCACATCACAGATGGGGCAGTGTGTGGGGACTAGGTTGGCACTCACGCCACTGGCTGGCCCAAGCCACTGGACAGAGTGGGCAAACATTTCTCAGATTTGACTCCGGACTCTGAACTCAGGTTCAGAACAGGCTTAACTTGAATCGTAATGTACACCTTGTGTTGCATCCCTGGCCTCCCACCACGCTCAGACCGTGGGTGCCTCTTACTAACTGGTGATTGGCAGCACATCCTCAGCTCCCAGAGTCTGCGATTGGTTTAAGGCAATTGCAGCTTTCCTGTCCAGTTTCTAATCGACGTTTTCTAAATGAGACATTAAACAACACTGTAATGTGTCCCTTCTAGCTCTTCCCCCTAGTTAAATGACAAGACTGTTTTGGAGAGCCACCTTTACAAAGCGGTAGTAGCCTGACAATATTAATACCAAGAGATCTCAGGAAAGAGTGAGAGAGAGAGAGAGGAAGCTGGCAAGGGAAGGCACAGATGGTGGGCGGGGATGCAGGGTGCTCTCAGCAGGCTTCAGTGGAGATGCATTAACTCCACAGAGGGATGAGGGCTTCCCACCAGCACCGTCATGAATTATGACTGAGTACGGGAGTGAGGTCTTAGTGCCTGGCTCACAGCAAATAGACTGTTCTATTTTCCTGCACAATCACCTTTCACCCTTATAAACCCAAAGCACAGCAAAGCACACTGCTGATATTTAATGGTATCACAGTAGCCTTTTATGTGTCTAGAAGGCAGACAAACTTAGCAGATGTGCCCAGTGGTGTAAGTCAGATAATTATAAAATTAAGTTTTGGCAATGTAAAAAAGGAAACCTTTTACGGGCGGTTCGGGTTTCCAGTGAGAGATGGTCTTCCGCCAGCTGAGGAGCCACATCAAAGCAGGAGGGGACCACGAAAGAAAGATGCCAGCCTCTCAGACACACTGGGTACAAGAGAAAAGCCTCCCTTTTGCAAACTTTCTCCTCCTCTTACGGGAAAGCACTTCCAGCCCAGTTAGTTCCTCCACTCACCCATTCAATGAAGTTATCAATGAAGGAGGCCTGTTATTTTAGGCAGTTTAAAATTTCACCACTTTTAAAGGACTCGTTTACCCTGCCTTTCACTCCCGTTTAAAGCCTCGGAGTTGCTGTTCTAAATGACAGCACCGCGAGCACTCCTTTTAAGCACTATTCATCTCGCCCGCCACATCTCCGGCTTTTACAGAACACTGCTCTCTCTCCAATAAGGGAACTTACTCCTTCATAGCTGCAGGGCAGAGCCTGTTACGAGCTGTAGATTCGCTGCAAATATAACAATAAAGGATACAAATGTGAATTCCTCTTAAAATACACGCCTGGCTCTGAAGCTGCCTTGCCTTAGCAAACTCGATCAAGAGCAGCCTATCAATCGTTCTCCAAATGCACAGCAACAGCTCATTTCACGCGGCTGTCCAAGGGATGGCCACATCGATGGATCGGAAGATGCTGGAATGAATTCTTTGCTCGTTTCAGGGGATTTATAGTTGAAGTCCACGATTACCATCTCTCTCACTCTAATTGTGTCAACAGTTGGATATGGAAGTGGTGTTTTCCAATAAAAGATAAAAGTTTGTAAACATAAAGGGTCTATTCTTGGCGTTTTGTTTCTGCTAATGTGAGGAAACTGATCCATGTGTGGCGCAAACATCTAACATAGAAACACATATGTGGGAATTCAATGTGCCTCTCTAGATTGCGGAATGTTCTAGAAATTTGGATTTCCAGATCTTTCCAAAGGATCTGATTAAAAAGGTGCTGAGACAGAGCTCTGCCTTTACAGGACAATCATGCCGGCAGATCTTCTGGTGCTGTGGCAGCAGGCTGCCTTGGCGACATAGAAGATGGCAGGGCCAGCAAAGCCCAGCCAAAGCAGAATGTGGCAGAGGTGATGAACATTTCCAGGGGGTGGAGAGGGAGGAGGTTGCAGAACTGGCCACAGTGCTCTTCAGTACACCCTAGCTGGATGCTCCATAAAGTCGCACTGATGGCAGTTCGGAGATGGCCATCTGTCGTCAACTCTGGGCCAGACAAAAAAATAATGTAATGGCAGATCACTAACAACAGGGCTGTTGGAGGAGGGAATGAATCCTAGAACGAGGAGGTGGTGCTCCATCTTTTAATAGCGAAAACCAGCCATCGATATGAACATCAAGAAATTAATGGATGGAGAATTTTTAAAAACTGAGCTGGGGTGCGGTAGAAACGATTCAAATGTAAATCAAGTGGTTTTAGCTTATTGCAATTACCTCTGCTGCCCTTACTTCAGTCATATTAACCACTTGATTCTTGAAAA